TATTCGGTTCACTCTAGGAACTCCTTGAAACATAAGGTTGAAATCCCATTTTTAGCAAAAGTTACCCAAACCCTTCAAACTCTGACAAATCAGACACATAATCACACACAAAGAAACCTTCCAATCCCTCAAAAAACAACAGCAGTCGGTGGGGTAAAGCCCCTCTGAAACAAACGGTCCACAGGGATTCATGTAACTCAGATTATTAAAAAAAATACAAATGTTCAAAATACAAGATGAACAAAATGACCAAAAACCAAAAGATTACAAATAACAAGTGATGATGACAGTAAATTAAAGAGGTCTGATTGATGGGTTGAGTACACTTCTAAAGCTCCTGGTGTGCCTGGTACGATCTGCGGGGAACCTGTTTTCATTGGCTGTGCCCATCACATGGCTGCGATCAGTGGGTCTGAGCAGGGTCACGGTGGGAGCAGCAAGGTGATGGAGGGGTCAGCAAAAGTGTGAAAGAGTCACCAAGCGACCTCTCTGATCCAGTCCTTCCCTTCGCTTAGCGTTATCAGCATTATGTGGCCCAACCGGAGGGGGTTGTTGTCACTCGGATGGATACTCCGGTTCAGTGCGAGGGCATCAGGGTCGGAGACGGGTTTCTCCTTTTCCTGATCCCATTGTTTCTCCATGCCAGTCTCTGGTTTGGCACAGTGTTGTTTTAGAACAAAGCAGGGCTTAGGGTGAGTTATCGAACACACACACACACACACACACACACACACACACACACACACACACACACACACACACACACACACACACACACACACACACACACACACACACACACACACACACACACACACACACACACACACGGATACCAACTTGATCTGTACATTTGGTCTTGATCTGGCTTAACCTTTCTACCTCTGGCCCAGTTTGCCCGCCTGCATTGGGTTCTTGTCACACAGCTCTGATTGGTTGGGGACCTGGCTTTTGGGAGTGTGTGTGTGTGTCCACGTATGTTCGTCACCCAGTGTCCTTGAACATTCCCCTACCCCTATGTCTACATCCAGCCCCATCATTTTCATCTTGAGTGTCTGACGGGCCCTGTCTGGTCTGAAGGACGACTCGTGTGATAGATGATGTTGCTAAGCATCACCATCAGCTACTGTAATGTGTTTTAGCTTTTAGAGCATTTTGAAATACACATTCTATTTGTGGGGTTAGGGTTTATGGTAAAATTAGTCTTGTTTAGGAAAATGAAGAGTATGGAGAACTTAGAGCAATATTTAACGTCTTTTACGTAATCAATGAGGACGTTTGATCAAGTTTAATTCCAGGAACTACACCCATTGTAAAATGCTCCAAGGCTTCATTGCTTGATGACGAAACTAATGTTTGACCTACAAACCAAACGATGCAAGCAGCAGAACGTAGGGGAAAAGAATCTAAGTGCTTTAGCGTTTTCATTTTTGCACCACATCCCAGCCTGCAGCAGCCTCGCCATCTTTAGAGTAACGTTAGTGCTGACTGTGCCCGAGCAGGCCACAGGGTGAAGCCTGGGGCAAATGCAGGTCACACCAGATCCAGATCTCCCTCGGTAAGCTCTGCCCCAGCTCTGAACCCTGGATCCCATTAAAAAGGATTTACATGCAATAGTGTAGATGTACCAAAGGCAGTATTGCTTTCTTTGCTACTCATCATTTCCACCCCTCTAATAAAATCCCTGCAAAACACCATCAAGCTGCTTTTTTCCCCCTCCCTCCCTTACCGCCACGTCTTTTTCATCTCAGCCAACGATGGGAGGACTGCAATGAGAGCAGAGGACGGTGCCCCACCCACAGCGAGGGGATAAAGGAAAAGGATTGGCTGGGAGTTTGATCTGCTGTGAAAGCCTTTTATGGGATGTGGGTGTTTGGGAAACCATCGGCGCATAAGTAAAATGCACGTGGAGATCTTCGGGAGTACATGCGTGAGCAAACTAACAAGGGGAGGGGGGAACAATGAAAAAAATCAACTCAGATTGTTTTTGCAGTTTATCCCAAATCGTCTTGCTTCCTTTCCTTCTGAGTGTTCCTTGCTGTGAGATTTGCTTTCCTTGGTCCTCATCTCTGAGCTGTGGAATCTTCTCAGATCCCATTATTTGTGTCGTGGTCAGTAAGCGAATCGATGATCTCACTTGATCCAACTTCCTGCTCAGCTGGCCTTCACGGTGCGGTGATACTACGGTTTACACCTGCTGGCTTGATTACCACTACACACGTCTGGTTAAAGGAGTCATTTCAGGCACCAGCTCAGGTGTTTTAGGAGGCAAAATACAAAAATGCAAACTGGGACGTTTATTGAGCACGGAGAATGGAGGCAAATTTGAAATGCCAAAAAAGATTAATTGGAGGGGAGTTTGAAAGTCTTGGTGTTAGATTGGATCAGTTCCACTGTCGAAACTAACTCACTCTAATCCAGAGAACCAATCCCTTCAGCCAGCCTAACTACTAATTACAGCAGAGTGTCTCTTCCACTAAATCACCCACGGTGGTCTCATATTGTCATGTTGTTTCCAAAGCCTAAAGTTTAATCTTTTCTCTTTTGCCATCTTAATTGATCTACGGTCCAGTTCTGGATGAGACTTTAAACCTGAGTTGGACCTAATAAGTTCAGATGTTAACTGATATTAAAGATGTTCAAATTTTGGAGTTTTCAGTACGGAACATGCAAATAAGCCATAATCATCACAATTATAACAAATAACATATCTGGCTTTGCATGCCTTTTAAGTTGAAATAAACTGAAATATATGAACTTTCGCACAATTGCATGTAGTATAACACTTGCTGCTAATAGACACCAAAAATCGCACCCCGAACACCAGGAAACCTTTCCGAACCTCACTTATTTTACTTGTGACTTGTAAACAGTGTCCATTTTTTATTTTCTTTGTTTTGTTGCATCTTTGCTTTCAGCTGTTCACCACTGACTTTGTTTTCCTATTTTCTTCTATTTACATTCATTAGTTGAAATACAATAAAGAGATGTAAGGCGGTGAATAAAGGGATTTCATAATAATAATTAAATAAAAATGGTTTGACCTTGGATGCACCGAGCAATTTTTACAAGGAACAGGGGAACTAAATACATTTATCTGCGAATCACACAGATGTGTTGATTCTGCATTATTGTGCACATTTTTCATGGAGGTGATTTCTCTCATCTGTGGTTCTTTGTCCACCAACCTCCCCAATCAACAGCTCACACTCTGAATTCACATGCATTAAAGCCACATTGTGGAACATCAATTAAACGTGGAGGATGAGGACAGGTAGAGTTCACTGAGCTTTCTGTTTCCTCGACATGCAGGTGATGGCATGATGATGTGAAGCTGTCTGAGTTTGCTGTCATCAGAGATGTGCAAAAGGCGTTTAAGCAATGGGGGTATTTTTAATACAACTGACCATATTTGATCACATGTGCATGCTTTTAAATTTATTTGCAGCCCAAACCTAAAAATTCTTGAAATGTAAATTTTTTTGTTGAAAGAAAACTTTAAAGTTATATAAATAAAAAGTTAAAACATTAAAATGAAAAACTTTTTTCAAAAGAAATAAATTTAAATGAAGTAAAAAGGAAGATTAAAAACAAAAACCTTTAAAATCATATAAGTAATTTTTTTTTACAGTAAATAGCATTTTTATCTCTAAAAATAAAATAGTGATTAAAATATTGTGAGCCTCAAAAATGCTACAAAAAAAAAAAAACAAAAAAATAAATATAAACAAAAAGTAAGAAAAATATTTGAAAAAATAAAAAAGTAACACTTTCCCGCTCCCTTTATTAAAGTTACTTGGTGCATAATTAAGCATTAGTAAGCTATTAAATAAAGTATACAAGTACTATAAATACTATATATACATATTATGTATTGTATATACTATGTACTGCATTATTAAGCATCCCCCTCCCAACCCCAACACTTTTGTTGGGAATATTATATGCGATATATTGGGAATGTTAAAAAGCAATCCTTCCTTTAAAAATGCTTAATAATGCCTTAAGTAACATCAATAAAGGAACTCGTATTGTAAAGTGTTACCAAAACAAATATGTATTTCCAGTGACTGAAACTTTACATTTTCAAGTCTTTTAGTATCTTTAAATGTTAAAATATTACAACAGTTTTGATTTTCTGGTGTTTTAAAATGTGCCAGTTTCTACATTAGAGGACTTGTTGGTGTCACAGAGGAAAAAGGAGCAAATATTTGTAGATGTGCGTAAAACCTTAACAAAAATGCAAAACTGATCCCATGTTTTTAAACATGTAAGTATGTACGCACCGGGTTAACCCCCAGCTGAACCATGACTGCACCTGCTGCAGGGTTTAGAGTATGCATGCATGGTTCAATGGTGACCTGCTGTGTCCTCCTGTGAACCAGATTTTACAAAAAATGTAAACATAGTAAATCAGGCTCATGCAAAATATTATTAAACACCAGTCCTGTACTTTCTAAAGTCATTCCCAGTTTTTGCTAACACGTGCCTGTATGCTCCATACCTACAAGCTGCCCTGCTTTTATGAGGGTCACACTTATAGTCAAACACTTCAAATGCTATGGCTGCTACTTTCCCTCTTAAATCCTGAGGAAGTGGTAAACTTATTTTGTTCCACTCACAGTACTTCCATTTAGCTTTCATTTTGTTTAATAAACATTGACAGGGAGGAATCTATTGAGTGTTCTCAAGGTTAGATTATAATAACTTTAGAGCTCAGACCTTTTTATTACATTTTGTCATGACTTAAGCTTTTAGTTGTGAAAAATAAGAACGTCTGGAAGTCTCCTTCTTTATTTGTTATGAGTCAACACTGAGTCAACAAAGATAATATAACAGATATGGTTCTGTTTTTATTCCATACGGTCATTCAAACTTTGTTTTTTTTTCTCTTTCTTTTTTGCTGATTGAGGATTTGAAGAAAATTCTCTCCATTCTGAGTTTGTAGATGATAATGATGATATAATGATGATGATGATGATGAAGTGGTGTCGTTGCAGGTCAAGGTGTGGTTCCAGAACCGCCGGACCAAACAGAAGAAGGACACAACCAAGGATTCAGACAAACGCTCCTCCTCCTCGTCAGAGTCTTTGGCTACCTGCAACATCCTGCGCCTCCTGGAGCAGGGCCGCCTCCTGTCAGGACCTGCCCCACCTCCAAACTCCCTTTTGGGCCCGCCAAACCACCCAGCAAATGGCTCTCTGCTCAGCAGCCCGGGCGGAGGCTCCTCCACTTCCCCTGGCGTCAGCAGCAGCACTCCTCCCAGCTCCCTAACAGGAGGGACGTTTGGGCTCTCGCTGCCCTCACTGGGCGGTACCCCGTCATCTCCACGGCTGGGTGTCCCACCTCCCCACTCTCTCTGTTTCTCCTTGCCCCTCTTGGGTGGGGCTCATCATGAACTGACATCCACCTACGGCTGCGGCTCCTCAGCATTTGAGCCGTACATGAGGCTGGACAGGAAGGAAGCAGATCTAGGTGGGAAAAAAACAGTTTCCTGAGCAGCAGTTCTGTTTTTTAGGCACTAGACTTGTACAAGGTGCTTCTCCTCAGCTTTTTACCCTGCCACTTGTCTGACAAGCAAACAGCTGCAGACAGACCAAGAGAGCAAGCTGGATAATAAGAATATGACAGTAAAAGTGCTCTCCAGTTGGATCACTTGGTGCCATTTTTGGTACAAAAGAGAAAAAATAACTCAGAAAAACTGAATGGAAAATGAAAATATCACTTTCCCTCTAAAAATTATTTTGTTTTGCAGAATTGCTGCGTGTGTATGTTGCAGACAGGTGTTTTTATCACCACTCTTTTCATGGTAGTTTTCAGTAACTCTTCACTTTATGTCCAGTGAGTGAGTGTGTGTGTGTGTGTGTGTGACCTTTCTCTCTTTACAGGCCTTCATTAAATGTTCAGGAAAAAAATAACATACTTGACAACTTGACATGAATATTTTCAACCTAGTCTCACCAGAACACATGTAACAGGACCGTTCACAGCACCAGAACTCTGTAGAATCACAGTCCATTAGAAGAAAACCTGAGATGGAAATGTATCTCACTTTTTTCTTAACAAGGTGAATTTAAGGCCCCAAGTGTAACACTTTGATTCTTTATTTTTAATACGATTTTTGTTTTGTCCTGAATAAAAAAAATGCAAAAGAGCTGCAACACCTATGCCACACCACTAGGTGGCGATCTTGTTGACACAAACAACGCATTGATCAAATTAAAGGATGAACATTCAGAGCCTAGCTTAAGAAGCAAATGAAACAGTAGTTGGTTTCTATCCTCAACAATGTTCACACATTAATAAAACAACACTTTCCAGCACATGATTGAACTTTAATCGCGATTAGGTCACGAAAACGTGGAAAAATATTGGTTTTGGTAAAATGAAAAGATTTTCATCTCCCTCGTCAAAGTATTTGTACTTAACAGATTTTTGTGCGGAGCTGACAGCAAATCGGTGGCATCTTTGACCATATTATGTGTGCTTACTTATACCATCATTTTTATTCCAGTAACTATAGCAACAATGGAGAAATTTAGGCCATGTACACATCTATAGAGTTTTTGTAAAACTGAATGTAATTTGATCATATCGATAGTGTTGCAGTTGGGGCCTTAAGCTGTATCTTGGTTGGTAAATAAGAAAGAAGACCAGACACGAAACAGGAGCCTCTGGTGAAACTGAGCTGTTGTGACTGGTCCACGTTTTGTCTAAAGACTGGGTTGATTAAATCAGTGTCTGAGTGAGACAGCGGTATAGCAAAGAGAGCGACATGTACATGTTTCTATTCCTGTTCAAGTGGCCATATTTGGTTTTTTTCACCATGTGAGATCACTAGAACAAAACACTGAAAAAAGAAAAAAGAACCGTAGCATCTCAGTATCAGTCTTTTTGGTGTCCAGCTGTAGTTTCTTTGTAAAACCTTTTGGTTTGGTTGTGTTTGTGTATGAAACAGTACGTGGTAGGCTCTGGAAAAATGGTGCAAAACTCACATATCTGATAGGAAAAAATAAATAATAAAATAGAGAAGTTGGCCAGCGCGTCTACGGGTGACGCTTTGGAGCTTCCAATCGGCGAGGCAAGCTGAGGTCAGGCCGAGAAAAGAAAAGAAAAACACGACCTTGGAACTCAGATTAACTGTGATTCACAGATCTCACAGCTGCTACAGATAAATACAGAAAAAAGTCTCTTTTCAGATCTTAGTCCAGAGGTTTGTGTTGTGCATCTTGTTTAGCAGACTAAAGCTGCAGCTGTAGGTGGTGAATCAATCTGTTGCTTCACAGAAAACTCATCTGCAATAGAATTTCTGTCCCTTTTATTTACTTTGGCTTCACTCTTTTAGCAAATTTTGAACAAAAAAAAGGCATTTTACATTTTAGTGATTGAAAATTGGGGACAACATCTTATACTTTAAACAGTATCCTTTAAATGTCCTTGTTTCGTGATCTTAACGTCTAACAAAAACGATGTGAATGGATCAAGCTGCCTCTGAGCATTTAATTTTTTCTTGTTTCTCCCTGTTTGCCATCATTCAGCTTGTAAGGATTTCCTCAGATTGACCTTCATTGAAAGCACTTTATGTTTGTTGTTTTGCCCCACATTCCTGTTTTTCTCTCACTCCTTTAAAGACACCTTTTATCATTTTTGGCTGAAATGATTTTTTTTAGGAGAGGTGATTTTGGTCGACTTCATAATGAAAGACATGTTTTGATTTCTTTATTTAAAGGTAAACTGATCCGTGCGTGTTTAAACTGAGAAGAGGAGAGCCAAACTAGCATTAATGTAGGACAGGGAGAACAAAGGTCAGCAGTTTCATTTTCCCATGAGAGGTCATTCCTTCAGGTTTCCTTCTTGTCCAAAGAAAGTCTGAATGACCTGCAGTTTGCCCTCAATTTGTACATGTCATGTGAGTCATCGTCTCTTTTTCCTTCTTGTTTGTTTTCTTCTGAATCTTTTCATTTTTTCTAACTCTGATATTATTTTTTCTTTTAAAAAATTTCCCTTACTCTTCTTTTTTCCCTCTCTGGTGCTTGCGGATGGTGGTTCGAATCGTCCTAAAAGAAGACGCTGTCATGACATCCATTTATAAATTTGAGCCGGGTGTACTCGTTATGTTTTTAGGTTGCAGATGAATTTTCCAGAGGAGCACGCTGAAAGAATCTGACCTCAGTCCGATGGCTCGCTGGGCCTTTTTGCACCTATGTAGCAGCAGCTTGTAGCTGATAATTTCTTCTTGTTGTGTTCAGTGTTGCAAAAAGAAAGAAAAAACAACAACTGCAGGCTCTTTGCAGCAGTACACCTGTGCTCTTGTATTATTTTCTATAAGCACCATCTATAATTCACACACTGGCATCAAATATTGAGTAGTGAAATAGAGCTGAGAAGTCAAGAGGCCTGAATCTCATGAAAACCCTGTGTGTCTCCTTTCTGGCTAATTTTCTCCAGACAAATGTTTTTTGATTTAAATTTTCAGCAAAAAACAAGTAACAGTAATGCAAAAATGTTATTTTTATTTTACACTTGCATTAATAAGTTCACAGGAATAGGTAATTATGTGTTGGAGCCACTAATGTGTACAAAGTTTAAAGTACCATAAGCAAATTTCCGCGTACTATGTACTGGTTTGTCTTAAATATAGTAACTTGCATTTAAGTGTATTTTACTTTGTGAGTATTAATGGCTCCAACATATAAATGTCTACTCCCATGACCTTATTGTTTTAAGTGCATACTTATTTTTAATTTCAAGGATGGTTAAGAGGCAGCTGACGGGTTCCGGCTGTCCAAGCAGAACGCAGCTCAGGTGATCGCCGAGGCAAAAACCCGGGCATGGGAGGAGTTCAGAGAGACCATGGAGCAAGACTTCCATACGGCTTCGAGGAGATTCTGGTCCATCATCCGGCGCCTCGGGGGGGAAAGCAGTGTGCTACCAACACTATCAATAGTGGGGACAGTGTGCTGCTGACCTCTACTCAGGATGTTGTGGATCGGTGGGCAGAATTCTTTGAAGACCTCCTCAATCCCACTGACACGTCTTCCAGTGAGGAAGCAGAGTCTGGGGACTTAGAGGTAAATCTCTGGTGCGGAGGTCACTGAGGTGGTTAAAAAGCTCCTCTGTGGCAAGGCTCCGGGGGTAGATGAGATCCACCTGGAGTTCCTTAACGCTCTGGATGTTGTGGGGCTTTGTTGGCTGACACGGCTCTGCAATATCGCGTGGACATCGGGGACAGTCCCAATGGACTGGCAGACCTGGGCGGTGGTCCCCTTATTTATAAAGAGGGACCATAGGGTGTGTTCCAACTACAGGGGGATCACACTGCTGAGCCTTCCTGGTAAGGTCTATTCAAGGGTTCTGGAGAGGAGGGTCCGTCAGATTGTTGAACCTCAGATTCATGAGGAGCAATGTGATTTTCGTCCTGGCCGTGGAACACTGGACCAGCTCCATACCCTTAGGGGGATCCTGGAGGGTGCGTGGGAATTTGCCCAACCAGTCTACATGTGTTTAGTGGATTTGGAGAAGGCGTTTGACCGCGTCCCTCGGGGGACCCTGTGGGGGGTATTCCGGGAGTATGGAGTACCAGGTCCTCTGATACGGGCTGTTAGGTCCCTGTATGACCGGTGTCAGAGCTTGGTCCGCATTGCCGGCAGTAAGTCGGGCTCGTTCCCAGTGAGAGTTGGGCTCCGCCAAGGCTGCCCTTTGTCACCGATTCTGTTCATAACCTTTATGGACAGGATTTCTAGGCACAGCCAAGGTGTGGAGGGCATCCGTTTTGGTGGCTTGAGGATCAGGTCTCTGCTTTTTGCAGATGATGTGGTCCTGTTGGCTTCGTCAGAATGTGATCTTCAGCTTTCGCTGGAGCGGTTTGCAGCTGAGTGTGAAGCAGCTGGGATGAGAATCAGCTCCTCTAAATCTGAGACCATGGTCTTGATTCGGAAAAGGGTAGAATGCTTTCTCCAGGTCAGGGATGAGGTCCTGCCCCAAGTGGAGGAGTTTAAGTATCTCGGGGTCTTGTTCACAAGTGAGGGAAAACTGGAGCGTGAGATCGATAGGCGGATTGGTGCTGCATCTGCAGTGATGCGGGCGTTGTACCGGTCTGTCGTGGTGAAGAGAGAGCTGAGTCAGAAGGCGAAGCTCTCGATTTACCGGTCGATCTATGTTCCTACCCTCACCTATGGTCATGAGCTTTGGGTAGTGACCAAAAGAACGCGATCGCTAACACAAGTGGCCGAAATGAGTTTTCTCCCAAGAGTGGCTGGGCTCTCCCTTAGAGATAGGGTGAGAAGTTCGGTCATTCGGGAGGGGCTCAGAGTAGACCTGCTGCTCCTCCACATCAAGAGGAGCCAGTTGAGGTGGCTCGGGCATCTGGTCAGGATGCCTCCTGGACGCCGCCCTGGTGAGGTTTTCTGGGCACGTCCAACCGGGAGGAGACCTAAAGGTAGACCCAGGACACGGTGGAGGGACTATGTCTCTCACCTGGCCAGGGAACGCCTTGGGATTCCCCCGGAGGAGCTGGCCCAAG